CACGTGGAAATTAAACCTGAAGTATCGGTTGCTTTCAAAATAAGTATTTATAAATTCATGACCTATGACTCCGTGCAAACTAGCGAATTTACACACGACTGCCAATCTATAGACTCAAGTCCCACGATTTGTTGTGTAATTCACTATCAGTCTACTGTCTCTTGATCAGTAAATAGAGCCTGTAATTCACCCATAGTGATCCCTTTAACGATTCACGGGTGAAGAAGCTTCATTTGGTGACCTATTATATGACAGTTCATACCTTGGCCTGTTTATAACACGCGAAACTTGTTCCTGAAGTATCAGAAGCTGCCAGAATCGATATTTATCAATTTCTAACCCATGACTCCATGTAAACTAGCGAATTTACACACGACTGCCAATCTATAGACTCGAGTCTCACGATTTGTTGCGTAATTCACCATTAGTATACTCTTGATCAGTAAATAGAGCCCCTAAATCGCTCGTAGCGATCTCTCCAACTACGTCTAACGATCGACAGATTCATGGATCCCCTGTGAAGAATATTCACCTCTATTTATCAGAACCCCTAACTCGCTCATAGCGATCTCTCTGACGATAACCAGATTCGTGATCCTTTGACAGTCAGACACGTTTGACAAACGTTTGTATTCTCAAGTGCACCTAACCCGTGAAAGTTGCTCGTGACTTTTAGAGTCACGTGAAAGTGTCGGTTCCAGAATCGGTGTTTACGACTGATAGCACACCATAAACTGGTAAATCTAGACCCGACTCTCGACAAATAGACTCCTCGATGGTACACTGATCGGGAACGAGTCTTCGACCAATTATTCCGCGTAACGTGGTTCTGCGACTTTTTCCCGTGATTCGATTGCAGCTGTGTCGAGACGCAAGCTTCTTTCCCGTCGATGGACGCGGAAGCAAACCTGGATATTGCATTTCCAGTCGGTAATTGGATGACATTCGTACAGGAAAGGGAGAAACCGAGAATTCCAGCTGTTCGCTATATAGCCAAGGTATAACGAGATCAGCTCGCGTGTTAAGAAAAATTGCACGACCGACTCGTTGACTGAGAATGGATCGTTATGAAATCGTTCGTGTACCGTGAGGAACAGGGTGGAGGTGGTAGACAGCTTCCTTGGATCTTCGTAGAAAAATTACGTACCTCGCGTGTCACCGTTCTTTTTGACGTTGATCGTTGCGTTACGTAATCGCGATAGGTCGTGATCGATCTTCCAACGATTCGATAATTTGATGGAGCACTGGGTTTTGTTCTTCGTATCTTTGACGCACCGTTCCATGTCAGTAGTTGCGGTACGTTTCAGGTTGTGACTGAATTGTTAATTTTTCTTTTTTAATCCAGTTTTATTGTTCTTTGGCGGGATGAGCCCTTTGAAGTTGGAAGCAAATAATTTTATTTTTCGTTTATTCGTTTTCGCGTGTGGTGGATGAATTGAGTGGGACAGGAAGAGAGGATAGAGGTAAAAATGGAGTGAGATGTAACAATTATATATATAAGTATATGGGATATAATATGATAATGTGTGAATATTCTTGAGATTATTTTTGCTTATTTTTGCTCATTTTTGCTATCGCATCGTTTTTCTGCGTAACTTCCAATTTCTAACAATTTCAGTTTTTAGTAATTTTGATAAAGAGGTTGGAAAATTGTTGGTAACATTTTTGCTGCCTCGTGCTTTTTATTATACTTCATTGGTATACTTCGAATAGAATATCTTTGTTAATTAGAAAGAAGTTTGTGTATATAATGTTCGTTTTGAAGCATGAGTCAGGCGATGTTTAATGAACTACACTTAATAATTAATCCCGAATTCTATTGGCGTATACGAGCGTTTCGCGTGATATACCGGAAAGATACAGCCATAAGAGTGCGAAAGTTTTATCGTGAAATGGGTCAGTGGTTAACAATATTTTTCTTATCAAATGTGAATCACTTGTACCTCGACAGCTTGTAGAACATACATACATTTGCATCGTCGGTTCTCGTTAAATTACATTTTTCTCGTTAATTATCACAACAATGCGCGATGTAACCTTTAATGAGCGAATAGTTCCCTGCAATTTTCCACGTGGATTCTTATTCATTGATTATGTGTTTTATGATCAGTGAGTCAACGAGCAGTTAAGTCATGGTCTTAATTAGTCACAGGTAACGCGTTTATATCATCATTTTGTATTGCTTTAAATGAAATACGTGTTTAAAGGAACTCCTCGATATAGGCTATAAAATGGTATAATAATTGTTCAAATTAATTTAAAGAGATCAAAATTACCATTCTTTTGCTAAATCTTTTTACTAGATTGTTTACTAAATTTTCTAAAAAATTTTACCTTTATATTTTTAAATTTTCGTAGCAGAAATGTTAGTTTTTCTCTTGTGCATTCTTTCTAAATTTTGGACTATGAGAGATTTAAAAGTGTTTCGGAAAAATTAATCGAGAAGTCGCAAATTTTCTCAGAATTATTAAAAGTCAAAGAGAATAATTTAATTGGGGTTTTACACTCGTTGATATCATAGAACTATCTTTAATTTTATTCCACGAAGGGAAAAAGAGACTTCTATTTCAAAAATTTATAATTCATACGCCAGGTTCTACAGCTGCCTAAGAGCATCATGTTAAAGTCGCGTTCTCAAAGTACCGTATTACGAACGATACTTCTGCAACTAGTATTCCGAACAGGTTTGCAGTGAATACTCGGCTTTCAGTTTCCTGGAATATACTTGAGTTCTTGAGCGAACTGTGTCTTATGTTGGATGTCTGATTCTGCTTGTTACTTTGATAATTAACGATGATACGATGGAAGGATAGAACCTCTTAAATGATGAGTACGATCAATTTGTAGTTCCATTTGTATCATATTACGATGTACATCAACCTAAGAGCAAAGTAGATTATGAACTTACACAATGTTTAAGATGATTACATTTTATACTACTATACTGTATATTATTTTCTATAAAATTACTTTTATGTAAGAATAAGTTCAATTTTTATATACTATACAGTTATATATATAGTTGCAATTGTATATATACCATTGTACCACATTTATTAAATTTTCATCATCTTCTTCTTCTATTTTGATTCTCAATGTATCAAAATGGAGATGTTTAGAAGTTTCAAGATAAACATGCCTCAGTATTTCTTTTTAACATCTATTAATAATTGCTAGAAATAGGTTAGAAGTGATTTTTATATATGCTTAATTCTTAATCTTGGTAAGTAGGAACCTAGGGGAACAGAAAATCAGCCATTAGGTATGTAGCAAGTGTTATATAGATATGCAGGAAATAAATTTTAATTTATGATTGATTAATGTTCCTCTGATTACCTTTAAGCAGGAAGAGAATTATCATGTTAGGAAAAAATGCAGTGGAAGTTCTGGTGGACATATGCAATTCGAATGGCTCGAATTTAACTAGAATTTTTCTGATTCATCTGACGCCCACAAATCCATTTTATTCCATCGTGAGCTGAAACTGAACAGCACTTCATCCTGTTGACACGGATGCTGCAGTTCTTTCTAGTTTCGCGATTGTTTTTTTCACGTTTCACTGTATTTTTGCTCTTTTTCCCTCGCTGCGCTGGTCTCTCTTATCTGCTATATTTGCCTCCGCGAGAGTTTTGTTACTTTTCGTCCTTTTTTCTTCCTCCCTCTCCTCTCCTCTGATATATAGTGTGATTTCGCACGTCCTCGAAAAAGCTTGCTCTTTGACGACGAACGGAATGATATAAAAATGGAAAGTGTTTCACGTTCTGTTCGCGATATTAAAACGTAATGTTCAATCCCTGTTTTATCGACACGTACATACCGCATTTAAGACGCAAAATTTTGACCTCTTTTAATTTTACGTATCTCGTTTGGTCGTAAAGTTTTCGCGTCTTCGAAATTCTCTGTGTTCGTGGGATCGAATTGAAACGATTATAAATTCATTTATTCGGTTCACGAAGGTATTTTTAATTTCCGTGATAAGCAAATGTGCTGAATCCCCTGCTGTTTCTATTTCATTCCTTCTCATTACGTTTATTACGAAATAAATTCCATGCTTCGAAAACGGTTAATAATCATGGTAATGAAATTTCATGGAGAGTTTATAGCCATGCTCTGAATAATAAAATTCTATACTACATGCTACCAACATTACAACTTACTTTCTTGTTATTAAAAACATTTGAAATTTTTTCGCGGGATAATATGGCGTACATTGTGTAGGAATATATGAAAACGTAGTTTCGCTTAATCAAGATATGCGTGTAAATAATATTTGAATCCAAATTCTCATTATTCCAACACGTTGAAAACGTAATTTATGTTGTAGTATAATCAATCGTAAATAGAGCTTTTAGTTGCATAATATCGCTATTCTTCGTGAAGATATTTTGTATGTATTTGTGATCCATTTCATCATCGCTATCATTTTTTGCGTTGAACAGTAGGAAGAAGTATATTTGATAGTGACAGAATTTAAGTGGATAGCCCCTTATTGCAAGATTATGTTGTTAGAATCATTTTCTCAATCATAAAATAGTCATGCGTATGATCTTTATACGATAAATTATGAATAGATTCATTAAGTATTTTCAGCGGTCTCTTAAATTAAAATTACGGTGGGGAGCCAGTGTAGATCTGAATATTTTTAATAATAGTAGTGAATCTTATATTTTTGTCTTCGTATAACCGTATTTAGTTTTTATCATAATATTTGAAGGTAGCGCCAGAATTTGCGATTCGGCGCCGAATTTCTTTACCATAACCTATCACAATGTAGGTACAAAACCCGGCTAACAGCTATAAGCTGTTATTACGTCACAAGTGTTAAGATTAAACCATTTCGGTATGTGAAAGTGTCAAGTGTCAATTTTTTGTAATAAGACTTGAGAGTAATTTGAGAAATTATTGTGCAAATTGTAAGAACATTGTGACATCGTATAAGAAAAAAATGCTTCGCCGTAACCAAAAAGCATTACTCTACTGTGAACTATTTGGACTTTCAGAGGAGGACGAATCACAGATTTTCGTGAAGTTCTTCAAATTTCACAAATGTTATGACCTAATACCGACCAGCGCCAAATTGGTCGTTTTCGATACGCACCTCCTCGTTAAGAAGGCCTTCTTTGCTCTTGTTTACAATGGTGAGTTGCAAAATTCATTTCAGTTGTATGACATTTTAGTTATTATTCCTTTTCTTATTGACCATAAAATTAATCTTTTATCATAAATTTTGGAGTATTATTTTTGTTACTCTTGTATTTCTTTATTCAGAAATTACAATTATTTGTTTTGTTGTTTACAATAATTTTATTTACAGGTGTGAGAGCTGCACCATTATGGGACAGTGCGAGGCAAGAATTTGTTGGAATGCTAACTATAACAGATTTTATAAAAATCCTACAGATGTATTATACCAGCCCATCTGTAACAATGGATGAATTAGAAGAACATGAATTAGATACATGGAGAAGTAAATATGCTTTTAAATACTTTATAGATTTTATGTTCAACAATTAACACTATAAACATTTTGTAAATTTTGCTATTTTAGAAGTTTTGAAAGATCAAGTTCATCCATTAGTAAGCATTGGCCCAGATGCATCTTTATATGAGGCCATTAAAACTCTAATTCAAAATAGAATTCATCGTTTGCCTGTGATAGACCCAGATACTGGAAATGTTCTCTATATCTTGACACACAAACGAATTCTTAGGTTCCTCTTCCTTTATGTAAGTATTGAACAAAAGATTATAACAGTGAGAAAAATAATTTTCAGTATTTATATATGTGTATATATATCTTATTTAAATAATTCAACAACAGATACATGAGCTACCAAAACCATCTTTCACTAGTAAAACATTGAGGGAATTAAGGATAGGTACATTTGAAAATATAGAAACAGCAACAGAAGAAACTAGCATAATTTTAGCATTAAAGAAATTTGTTGAAAGGAGAGTTTCTGCATTACCAATTATTGATACAGAAGGAAAGTTGGTTAACATTTATTCAAAGTTTGATGTTATTGTAAGTCGATTTTATAAATCTTAACCAATATCTTAACTTCTAGTAAAATTCAGTACAATATAGTAAAATTTCTACATTTTTACAGAACTTAGCTGCAGAAAAAACATATAATAATTTAGATGTTTCATTAAGAGAAGCAAATGAGCACCGCAATGAATGGTTTGAAGGAGTTCAAAGTTGTAAATTAGATGAAACCCTATTTACTATTATGGAGAAAATTGTTAGGGCAGAGGTATAATTATTATATTTTTCATAATAAAAGAAGATATTAAAAACATTCACTACAATTGCATTTTAAACAGTATAGTTATTTAATTTTTATATGTTGCATAATATAATGTTCTTTTTAAATTATGAATAAGTAAGTTATATAAAAAAATTTCAGGTCCATAGGTTAGTAGTGGTTGATGATGATGATAAAGTGATCGGTATAATTTCTCTATCCGACTTACTCTTCTACCTCGTTCTTAGGCCTTGTGGTAAGAATGTATTTTAATTGATGTATTTTTATTTATAAAAGTACGTAAAAATATTAACATATAAATGTCAATATTTAGGTGAAGATGGCAGTAGCAATAAAGATAGTTCTATATCGTTAAGAGCACAGGATTCTTTGTCAAAGGCGCCGAGTTCTGTGCAGTCGGAGGCTTCAATTCCTGATGGCGATGCAGAAGCTGAACAAGATACAGCTGAAGTAAACCAGTCTGAAGAAGCACCCGCAACACCTAGTCCACCGCTAAGTCCTGCAGCATCAGATATTTCTGAACCTCAGTCAACTTTAGTAAATCAATCTCAAGAATCTGCATGGAGAGAAGTGACCGTATCAGGAGGAGATTGAGGCAATATTATCTTAATATGCTATTAAGCATGACATTGTGAATCAATTTACGACTTTAAAGTCGAACTTTATTATAGTGTAACAAGCAGTGTACGAGTAAACTTGTTTCTTGTATGTTCTTAAGATTTCTCGTGTCTAATGCTTAAGAACTTACGAAAAACATGGGAAACATTGTTATTTGCTCGTTCAATCAATTCACGTCACAAAAATAGCTGTTATCTAAAATAATAAAATCACGCAAAATGGTGAAAATAACGAAATGAATTTTACTGGACGCGACAAACGATAATGCGATGCTCCATACTGTATAAAAGTTAATTAAGCTTAATTTTTTATGGTACAAATGCTACTCAGCATAGACGTTCGAGCTTCTTGCCAGGAACGATTGCTACGCCATTATCTACTCAGGGTATGATATTCTCTACACCCTTTCTTCAATCGTACACTGGGAATGTTTCAATAGAATTTTCGAGGAAACAAATAGTGGTTTCTTGCATCCTTTAGATTTATAATGTTGCTATGCTCCTTCTTATACTGAAATCTTTGTATTTTATTTCAGATCAAAGATTATTAAGTAATTTACTTTATTTACATCAAATAGTTTAGAAAAATGTCCAGAAGACATGAAACAGAGTAGTCGTCTATCAAAGAGTGCTCCATAATTAATAAATATGGACCTCGTTTTTACAGAGGCCTTCCACGCTTTTTCCTGACCGGAACGAAATATTACAGTGTTAAGAAAATGTCTAAATATGTATATCCTGTATGCTTATCTATAAAAAAAAAGTAGCTTCTTATTCGTGAACTATCACGTTAGATGTCTGAATACTAGAAACTGATGTGCATAATAAACGATTTTGTTTTAAACGATTGCACAGCATGTGATATTTTGCAAAAAAACAAAAAAAGAAAAAACATGGTGCTTTTGATTTTGCATTAACAGCTGACTTTGATAGAGCAATGAAATGAAAATAGTGTGCATACAATGAGTAACAAACAATAAAATATGAATAGTAGATAAGATGTTCGAAATTGTATTGTCATGTAACTTCTATATAAGCTTCACAAAGATATTTCAGTACAGGAAAGCAATACTTATATAAATTCAAATTACAATCTGTTGTTGAATTTATATGTTATTATTTCATGTACCTTTAAAAAAAACAAAAAAAAAAAAACAAAAAAACAAAAAAAAAATGAAAAAAGATTACAAGTCGAAAATACACTATTAAGATTTAAAAGGCCTACAAAATATGAAAAATAAAAGACAATTCTACAATTAATATGCGCTGCCACGATTGTTTTAATTAATGCTTTATGCGTATCAAAATATTTTTAGCACATTGTTCAAGTTACTTAACGAAGCGATTTAATTACGAACATATTATGTTCATTTTAGACTTGTGTGTATATATAATTTTATTTAGTAGCGCTTCTTTTAAATACTTCTATGTTTGTATTTGCTTTACAAGAGGTTTTTATAAATTAACTATTATGTTCATAAATTTTTATTTGGAAAAAAAAATGGAAATGTGAAGAACATATTACAATTTTTACAATGATTTTTGACAAAATTCTGTACTTATGTAATTATTGACGAGAATATTATACCTGGCATCATAACAAAAATACGCTGGATGAGAATTTTTGTAATTATATTTTATATTATTACTAATTTTCATATGTAACCAATGATTAATTAAAAGAAATTGTTTTGAAAAGTGCAAAAATTAGTTCTCGTAAATATTTATAAAGCTCATAATATTATACACAGATTAAACAAGCACCAATGTTGAATCGTATTTCAAAATTATGTAAAACATGGACTCCACTCAATATTGTACATGATTTAAATAACACATTATAAAGTGAGTGGCAGAAAGCATTCCTGTACAAACGATTTGTTAAACAAAAAATACTGTTTCATTTTGAAACAGATTTCATTCTACGCTTACTGCACGGAAGAAGAGATGGAATTATAAATTATGCAGAGATCTGCATGTTACATTTATGTGGAAATTTGTATATAAATGGCCTCTGTGCCAGGGAATATATTTTCCTTTTTGGCACAAAGCTCCATTTTGTCTATAAAAATATGGATGAAAATCACCTTTTGAATCTTGAAGGGGACAGTGCCTGTAATTTAGTAAATTTATTCCTAGGTACATTTACGAGGATAAGAATAAATATTCCATTTCAGATGAGGGCGCAGTCATTATAAAGCAAATTTACGTTAGTATTAATTAACAAGAGGCGTAGTGGACAATGATTTTTGTACAGCTGAAAGGATTGTAGCCGAATAAGATTTAGTGTGCTGTAGCTGCGAATATTATTTCCTTTTAGTACAAAATACGTTTCGACTTCACAAGTTGTCACGTTCAATTTTTCTAGTTTTTAGACGTAAAAAGATTACAGTAGCCTACATCCTGCAGCGTACCCGATTTCAATATTACTATTGCAATTGAAAGCACAAGTTTAATGTAACAGTTAACAAAAAACAAACATTGTTAGTGTTGAGGAATCATTGAAGTCGATGTACGCTGTATTTGTGAACCAAAACAATATATAGACAAGGTATTAAGAATAAATTGTACAATAAAGAATTAATCGAATAATTAGACAGTACACTTAGTCGCGTCTCAGTACTGTATATCCAGGGCAAAATCTATTAGCGTATTATTCATGTCCCTTGTACATGTAAGGTACAAATGAAAAAAAGAAAAAAGAAAAAAAAAAAAATTACTGAGTGACAAAATACATCGTAACTGAAACATTTTACTTCATGTTTGTAATTATTTTTTATGTACCTTATTACCTTTTCTTCTTAGAAATTTGCCAAATTATAATTTATATTCTAAGTATATAATTTATATACTTAATTTATTTATGCTTTATGCATATTAACATCTTTTATACTTTGTCTAACAGATCGTATTTTTCGAAATTTTATGAATAGACTTATAAAAATATACAAAATTTTCTATTTCACTTGTGGATAATGCTATTTACATAAAATGATAATGATTCGGAATTATCTCATTTATATTCTTACTCAATTGTATTTTTTCATTTTTTTTATTTTTTTATAAGAGTTTTCTGGCTTTCCATTTTTCCTTAATACTTTTTTTTGCGGAACCTATGTATTACAAAATAAAGAGTTGTTTACCTTCATTAACTGATATTTTATAGTAATCAAAAAAGCAAAATGATATTACCAAATTACTTACAATTTTATTATTTAACACTGAACGTGTATTTATTTTTTTTTGTTTTTCTTCAATTACTTTTTTATCTTCTTTATTGCTGACTACTTCCATTTCTTCAAATAACGTGTCATATTCCGGATCATTATCTAAATTGTTTTGTATACTTTTTCCCTTTTCTACTTCAGAGTTTTCAGTAATTTTATTACTGTCCGTTTGTGTATTTTCCTCATTAATCTTGTTATCTATTAACAATGAAGACTCCGAACGTAATAACATACACGATATTTTCGACGTTAAATAAATCTGCAACATAAAATAATACATGATAAATACTAATTTAATTAAATTAAATGTTTATTCCTTAATATAACATTCTCATACTACCAAATTGCTTTTACCTTCTTTAATAATTTTTTTGTATCAATATGATGTATTCGTAAAAATCTATCTAAACTGACACTGACAATGTAAGGTTCGTTTTTACTACAAGCTATTCCAGTTACACTTCCAACAAATCCTTTATATGTATTTAATACTTTAGCTGGATTTCTTAAATCTACAAGATTCATTCTACCTTTACCAGAACCTATTATAATTTGCCTGCAATTAAACAAATAATTAATTATTCACATTTGCATTTCAGAAAAACGTGTTACATTTTCTTTATATATATCATACACACTTTTCTCGTGGTGTGACACCTAAAGTTGTCAAAGCCTCATTTTTTATTTCAATATTTATAACAGGCCTCCTTTGTGTTTTTGGATCATATAAACGTACCTGTATAAATTTATTTTTATATTGTAAACATATTTATACCATACATAACAATTGCATAATAAAATCATGTACAAATTAATATCTTACATGTCCATATTTGCTAACTGTAACAATTTGTTCTGTATTAGGAAAAAACTCTATATCAGAAATCCAAACAGGCACTCTTAATTGTAACCAATCATGAGGTAAATTTTTCTCCATAAATATTGGGATTTGTTTTTCTATATCAAATAGTTTTAACATGTGTTCTTGACCTCCAGTAGCTATGAAATGTTTGTTTGTTTTTGAATGACACATTTTATCCAAATTTTGACCAGCATTTATTATAAATCCATCTTCTTCCTTAAATCGCCATAGCTTTATCTCTCCTGACTGAACAGCAGTCAGAATTGCTCTAGTTATTAAAATATTATATTAAAATTTAATGTTACAATAATATTTGAAATTATTAAGATTTTACTTACTCATCATATCGTGATATTCCAGCAATTTTTCCTGTTCCAATATTGCAAAAGAAGGAACATGTAAACATTGAACAACCTGTGTCATAAACTTTTACACTGGAAAATAAAAGAAGTTATGATGTTTTTAACAAGAGTAACAATCTAAACTGCACCACAGTTGATAAACTACATATTATGTACAACCTCCTGACGCTTTTTACACCACAAGCAATTAAAATTTCTCTTTCTTCATCATCGCCCCAAGACATTGATGTAACCTCATCACTATCCGTTATGGAAATTAAGTTCTGTATATTTTTCGTTACATAGTCATTTTTATCTATTTTTACACCTATCGACAAAATACATATTAAATTATCATAATTTTCAACCTGTTGTTATTTATATAATATTTTGTAAATAAAACAAGAAGTATATTTAAAGGTTAACTTGTGTTCATAACCTATCGTAACAATTTTTATTTGAAAGCAGCACGATATTGAATTAAAATATTTATAATTACCTTTGAAAATGCCTGATTTTCCACCAACATAAACGTCGTAGTTATCTGTCATACTCATTTTGACAAATGTTAGTTGTAAACAATAAGGATCGCGGATAATACATGTAATGCAACTTATACACGTGAAATTAGTTTTAAAGTGATTTTGAATATTGCAATTGATTCTAAAAATACATGGTACATAATATAAATCAAATTTTTTATATTGAATTTAATATCGTATTTAAAAAATTCAAAGTACAAATTAATTTTATTAAATTAATATTATGTTAGTAGTAAGGAAACAGAAACATATGTGTTTAAAAATAGCCTTAAGTTTGAATATAAAAATTATACAATTTATTTAAATTCACAGTATTAATGTCGTTATTACAATAAAGTACAAAGCTTTCATTATCTTTTATTTCACTTTATTGTTTATGTAATTTATTTTAAATACATTTAATAAATACATATATTTCATACAATTATTTTATATTATAAAGAATATTATTAAAATGAATATATTGGTAACATTAAAAACAGTTTGGGATGCAGTATTATTTTCAATAGTATCGTTTAACCAATTTAAATATAAGTCTAATCGACAATATACACCTGGTAGATTAGGACGAGCACAGCCTTTTCCCCATGATACTATACCAATTTGCGTACCATTACATAATAATGGACCACCACTATCGCCCTAAAATTTTTGTTATTATATAAAGAGTAAGATTTAACTATATACACTAAATCTATATATAAATTATTACAAACTTGACAAGCATCACGTCCACCTTCTATTACGCCTGCACATAAATGCAGTTCCTTATCTACTCCTTCAACTGGACATTTCTCTGTTGGTATTAATGGCAATTGTACGTGACGAAGATATGTACCACTCCCTTTCTAAATAATATTGTTTTCGTATATTAAAATGTTTATAATTCTTTATCACTTTAATAACATTTTTATTAATATTTCAATTCCTATAATTTATGTAAGAAAGAAAACGTAATTTTATTTGTATTAGATTCTTTGACTAATTTTACAAGCTCAGATAAATAATAGCGTCAACTTTTTAATGAGAAAATATGTTGACCAAAATCAATGTTCTCCTTCTTTGGTTTGGAATGTACAACAATAATTTTTTAAAATATATCCAGTTGAGCTACCAAAATCAATCTCCGAGCGTACATTCTAGACATATCTTTGCATTTCTAGAAAAAGGTTTTTATCTAACACGAATTTCCTACACAATAGCATATGCTGTAGGCTTTTGTGAAGAAAATATCATGGAACAGAATTATTAAAACAGTTTTCATTTCGATTAAGTTGCGAAAATATTTATCGATAAAGTATATACGGCGTTTTACCATTACGCAGCACTCTTCATTTCATTGGCCTCGACAGTGCTGTAGCTACGAGTAATCCGAGTACCAAGTGCAATGGTGCTAACATATAACAATCTGCAAAAAAAAAATTCATTACGACTTTACAGTCAAACGACGTAAGTATATATGTATCTTTTTCTTGTATTTGCAACAGTGTTATTTAATTATTGTCTTGATCTTTATTTGTGATGTTTATATTGTCTGAATCTTAAACAATAAAAAATATATGAGTTAATAATAAAAACATAATTAGTGGAGATAAACCGTTAATATTAATAGTAAATATTGTTTACGTATAATTACAGTATGTTCTTTCATGTTATTATAAATGCATAGCAAAATCTGACATTTAATACAAATCCGGTTAATAAATAAACTCTTTATACCCCCAATGCAAATTGGTTAATACGGCACTGATTCTCTCCATAAGATAGATAAGTATGGAAAATCAAGCGACATTCGATTAGCGACATTTATTATTTTGGGCTCGAAACTTGGACTTTGTAATAGGAATATAGAATATGCAAGGAGGTCGTAGAAGAGCACGTCACGTGACAAACAAGGACAGAGAACGGTTAGAAAAGGATAGAATGGCTCCGGCGGTGAAAAATTAACAAATTTCACAATTTCTGTGAATAATTTATGAACTTTTATAATTTTATTGCAAAGTTGAAACTTTAGGCAACATTCTTATATAACTTTCGTAAAGAATTTTACGCTAATTAGTTAGTTATTAATAATTGTTTGACGGCGTCCATGATTTCGTAACAATGGCCGTCACGATCTTGCATGAAAATATTTAATAATGAGCGAAATTAGAAGCAAAATGTGATCAAAAGTTACATTATAAGATTCGCAAGGACATTGCCTTTATAATGAGTGCATAAAGTTTCATAAATTAATTGCGTAAAGGATAATAATTAATGAAAAACCAATGGCGTCTGCGACAAATCGACCAATAATTCAAACACTGCGTAGAATAATCATTAATAATTAATTAATTAGGGTCAAATTTATATCGAAAAATATATTGGAAAGTTCTTGAAGGATCTGCCTTGACGATGCAATTATAAAAGTTCATAAATTAATCGCAGATATTGCGTAATTAGTGAATTTTCCACTGCCGATTTGATTTATTGAAATATATCCGGAGCACATAACCAGAGTTAGTAAACTAACATCAGAGCCATCTACGGTCCTGTTGCGGAACTCGAATTTCCAGTCGAAAATCAAAATGGTTGATGTTACACAAATAGTTTACTAACTCTGGTTATGTGCTTTTTATATATTTTAATATATTTTAATAAATCAAATTATAAAGTTTTTTACATTCTTTAATTAATTCAGCCGAAACAGCGGTTTTAATTAGACTATCAGCATTCATTTCTTTCTCTGACAGACGAGAAATATGCTAAGGTACTCCTTTACAACGCAATTATATAATTATATAAATTAATCACAGAAATCGAGTGATATGTTAATTTTTCTCCAAGTGAACAGGAGAATGCATAGGAAATAAGAAAAAATTGCAAACAAATGCCGGAGACATTGTTGTGTCTATGCAGTTGTGCCTGCATCACGAAAAGGATGTAAGTAAGTATTTGTATTAACATAACCTTTGGTTGTAATTAAATAGTGTAAGTGATGAGCCATTGTTTTTCCACCATTTATTAGTGATAGCAGAGCTTGGTTGTGAGAAGTCAATACTCTGTTAAAATAAATAGACATGTGCAACGATGGAAAAATATTGGACTCATGGAATATCATCAGCGTAGATGCCAAGAATTATATTTTATAGCGGGAGAAAGTTGAAGCAGCAATACAAATATGTAAGGTATGATATGTCTATTGTATTCTAGGTCGGCTAACGATATGACATACAAGATAGAAATCTCTGATGGTCAAATAAGGATGCAGAAAATGAAGCTGGTTTAGGCAGAGAAAAAAGAATACAATTGATTTAGGTAATGGCCCCTTATAACAGCAAGATATGGAGAATACAGTGAGATTGAAAGGTATGTTGTATTCCTGATCTAAATAAATATTAATATCAATGGTCAAAGTCAATGATCATCGCTAATGTGTTACATTACAGAATGACGGAGCTGAGATACATAAAGAAAATATGTATCAACAAAGAAAAATGTGCGGTATCAACATGGAAATATGAGGATCATTGAAGAGATGGAAAATGAACAGGTGATAATAGCTATGAAAGGTAAAGATAAATTAAATATACAGTATAAATGTTGCATTAAGACAAAAAAGTGTAGAAATATTTATAGAAACTTGGCATAAAAGAAGCAATTATAATGGTGCTGTGGCACATCATGGACTTCATTGGGCCAATAAAGCTAATGTCAAAAGGAGGTAAAAGGTATGATTATTCGAGAAAAGGCCCATTTGGTTGACTGATTTATAAATAACTAAAGCTTTAATATGAAATATTATTGACGAAGGATTTTTTTTATTATAGGAGACTTACAAATATGAGTAATATTTATATGCAAGAACCAGCCACTAAGGGTGAAGTAAGTAATAGTTAAGAATATTTCAATGGATTGTATATCTGTTTTTAAAAATTTAACCAATATGCAATATTTACTTTCTAAATTTCTATATTAATATATAAAATGATTTCTAATTTGAATTGGAATAATAAATAGTAAATTTTAATAAATTTGGTTTTAAAAGTATTTTACATTAATCAAACTAATATATTTGTTATAACTAGGTTGTAATGAAAACAACTGTTGGTGATATTGAGTTAGAATTATGGGCATAAGAAACTCCAAAGGCATGTAGAAATTTCATACA